CCCACAGACGACCACGACCCACGAACGACCACGACCCACCCACGAACGTGCGCCGTCTGCAGGCGGGTAGTGTCGCGGGTGCGTCTTCGTTCTTCAGCATCTTCCAAATTCTGACTGGTTGTTTTTTTAATTCGTTTCGCGGTCAGCCCACAAACTACGGCGATTTACGTTGGCCAAATTCTGCAAAGTCTACAGCGCAGCGGATCGGCCACATCGACTTCACGTGCGTGTTGATGTTCCGTTTTCTTTCGATTACTACACACCGTGCTTTTCTCTCCATACCCTTTCTTCACAATACAATATTCTTCTTCTCAGGACTGACTATTGACTACAGCGTGGCAGCAGCCAAGCATATACGAGCTACCATTACGTGTGCAGTTGGACGAGGACGGCCCGACTCACGACAGCCCGCATTAGCAGGAGCAACGCCATCGGTAACGACGACACCCGCGTACAAGGACGTTGCCCATACCACTCACTCGCAAATTTAGATGATGCCCACGAAGAAGGACGACACCGCCTGCCCGCGCGAACCAGGACGAGGACCTAGGCGACGCCGTCGATGATGCCAATCTAGACAGATGACGACGCGCGGCTGCGCACCACCCACCGGATGATGCAACCTTTGCTTACGTGCTGCCCCTCCGGATGAGAACACCTGCCAATAGGATGAGGATGACCGCCCACTACACCAAACAACGATGATGCGCCAAACGAGCAGGAATGCGACGGATGAGGTCGATCGCGGCGGACGAGGATGAGGATCGTCGTGCTGCGGCAGACGAGTCACGAGGGTGACAGCAACAAGCAAGGGTGATTGGTATGTGGAGGATGATCGCAAGACTGTCGTAGCTATTAGCCATGCCACTACTGTGGCTGTTGTATTGTGGTATGTAGTATACTGTTTCTTGTGTTAGTAGTTCAATATACTGTTTAATTGCCATATTTCATACATAGGGAGTGTGTATCTTTGGTGAATTGTGCTTTGTTGAAAGGATTATAAAGCAAACTTGTCGCTGTGTAGAGTACCCCTCGGGCTTGGGTGAGCTAACTTTATCGTGGGATGAGATGACTCAGATGAACTACGGGGTAACTTTGGAAGATTGTTCCCGCCGAACCTTCTCCAAAGTTAACTTGGCCGCCTTGGTGACTCAGCTCCCTCAGGGCAACTGAGGGTCTCAGAGTTGACCTGTAGTACCTTGAGACCAGTAACCTTTTTCCTGATGACCCTAGGTCACAAGATCCTCAATCATCACGTTTGACCAAACTCGTGCACGCTACTCTTGCGCTCTAATCCATTTTCTCCTTCCCAGTTGTCCCGTAGAGAGACACCCGGGGCCCAGGCTGCTAATCCCTCCCCCTTCGTACCCCAAACCTCTTCTTCACCATCTAGAACCACGCATCAATCCTATCCAGGGTGCAAGTACGTAGTCGACGGTGACTAGGTTCTTGCTGTTGCACCGTATATATTGACGGCCGAAGGTAGTTGAAGGAGACTTCTGCTCCTCGGTGGGACTCTGCAACGGGATGAAGATCGCGATTGACGACGAAGCTTCTTTGGTTTATTCTACCCCAGAGTGGATATCATTACGTCCAACTCGCAAGGAACCTTTCCCCTCCTTATGAATGGAGCACACGATACCATTTCTTGAGTTGGACAGCAGCGGTGATAGAATCAAGAGCACACATCGCTGAGTGGCGGCTGTGCTAGTAGTGTTATCCGTTACTGATTTTTTTGGACGACTGTGGCTGGAAAGCAACGTTAACAGACCTGTTGGATCCGTATGCTTCGACACCATGGCATCTCAATCTCACCTTTTGATTTCAGACTCGGATTGTGTAAAGGTCGGTAGACTGAGTACTGCCGAAGCATACGTCGTACACTGGTAGTAGCGCGTCTGGCTTATTTTTGAGTGCGTCCAAGGGATTACTAGGTTCATCGAAAGGATCAACATAACTGTCCATACTAGCGGGCACATCTGGCTTAGTGGTTCTAGTGCTCCATACACAAGCTCTCCTTCTTATTTTTGAGTGCGTCCAACGGGATTACTGTATCTTCACCGAAAGGATCAACATAAACTGTTATCACGGGGCACATCTCGCTTAGCGGTTCTAGTGCTCCATAGAGTCGGCCATGATGAAAATTTTGCACCATATTCGGCTACAACTTCGCCTCGTCCTTCACCCGCCTCTGCCTATTCACCTCCATCGGCATAATCATCGCCATCTGACTCGCCACAAGCAAACACACCTGCTCCCCCCTCCACCCCTCCCGCACCTCTCCCCCCTCCTCGCCCACATCCGCCGGCGCCGACCATATCTCCACATTCGTGTTATGCCGGTTCTGCGGATGCGCGAGCAGCGCCGAGCTAACAGAGTACGCGCCCACCGTGCGGCCCGCCGCCGCCGCCGGGATGGGAAACTTGAACTCGAGCGTCATGACCATCGTCGGGAACCAGCTTCAACCAACCAGTGTCAGCAGCCTCATAACAGGTTAGCTTGAAGAAGCTCACTTGGTGAAATCAGCAAGCTTGTGCCCGGGCGGGTTGAGCAGCGTATCAGCAAACACCGCAAGCGAAGACAGCGTCACCCGCTCGTGCTTGTCCTTGAGCGTGAACCACGTCCCCCACTCCATCCCGCCCCCGCCGTGCGTGGCTTCATTCGTGCGGTTCGGCGCATCGGGCGCGTTACGCGCAGCAATCTCCGGGTCCAGCGTGCGGTCCAAGTGCTTCCCGTACGTCAGCGCCGGGTATTCATGCGGCTTGACCGACGCGGCCGCGGGATGCTGATACAGAGGAAGTCTGCGCGTATACGATGACGGGCTGCCCTTTGGCGGCTCGAGCTTGCCGAACATCAGATGCGCTGTTATTCGCACTTTGCCCTATTTTTGAGAGTTGAATTAGTAGTGGGAGGAGAAGAAGAAGCGGATACTGCGCACCTTCTGAACAAACTCAGCCAAGAGGTTCGTGTACATCTTGCCCTTCTTCAGAGCCCGGACGTGTATATCAAACTTGTCAACGCATGCGCTCTGTAAGAAGTGAATCGTAACATGCACAGGATCAGGCGTCAGCGTGCCACTCTGAAAGTGTATGCAGGCGTCGATGATGTGGGATATAACGTAGCCGCCATGGGGAACACTAGAGCCAACGTGAACACGAGCAGTACATATCAAGTCGAAGGGACCTACGCCATGATAGTCCACTCGGGATCAAGGCCGCCATTATACGATGCATCCCATCCAGCTGCAGCGCTAGTCTTCTCAACACGTAGAGCCTGGTAAAGCGGGGCCATAATAGATGACAGAACCTCTTACAATCCGTACCAACACCGACTCATTATAACCGACTACAAAATCAGCATTCCCATCACCCTACGCCGGTACCCGAGTTAGAGACGTTGACAATCAAGCGGCGTCCGTGTACTCCGGTCGTACCGTCAAAGCCCGAGCGCCACACATCACATCTTAGCCCTCCTCATATTGACCTCCGCAGACACAGTCAACGCCATCTGACTCGCCACCGCCAGACACACCTGCTTATCACGCCACCCCTCCCGCACCGCGGTCTCCCCAACCCCAATGTCCGACGGCGCACTCCATACCTCCACATAGGTGTCGTGTCGCCCCCGGGGATCGTTGATAAACGTGCCAGACGTGAATATCCCTACTGTACGCCCCGAGGAACGGGGAATGGGGAACTTGAATTCGAGGGTCATGACCATTGTTGAGTACCAGCTAGACACCGCGTTAATACTAGAAGAGAAAAGAAAAACGTCTCTGCTGACCTTTGCGCCCCACCAGGACATTCCTCTGCGGGAAGCAGTGTCGGGATGTTCAAAAAGACATCAGCCAGCAGCAAGGGACGAAGGCGTTATACGCTCCGCCTCGTCTGTAAGCGGCTCGAGCCACGCTCCCCCGCCTCCGCCCGCTGTCCCGCGCGTTCCATTGCCTGCAGCGAGCTCTGGTTCTTGTGTTACGCGATAATGCTTGTTGAAATTGAACACTGGACGAACACCAGGTGATATGATAGGTGCCGTGGCGGGGTGACGATGGAGAGGGACGCGACGCGCGTATGCGGAAGGTGGGGAGAGCGTCATGCGCGGAGTGGGATCGCCTGGGAGAGGCGCGAGGCGGCCAAAGATGAGGTGCGATGAGATGCGGACTTGATCCTGTATTTGGATGAGACGCGACAGGTAGAGCGATCGCGTATACTACTTACGTCCTGAAGGAGCTCAGCAAAGAGGTTCGTAAAGCCTTTACCAATCTTAATCGGCTTGACGCGGACTTAAAATGGCGCAACCGCAGCGCTGTTCAGGAAATGGGCGGTAACATGAATCGGGTCCAGATGGGATGTGGTCGCTTGGTAGTGTATACACGCTTCGAGAATCTGTGCGAGAACGTAGCCTGCAAACGGGGGGGATAGCGTTGAAAACGAGGTAAACTTGAACCGAATGAATAATACACATACCACCATTGGGAACTCTATAACCCCATGAGACGGCAATCAGAAACGCAAACTCACATCCACAAATAGAGCATACTACTTACGCGGCAACAGTCCAGTCAGAATCTATCGCACCACGATACACAGCGTATTCCCCGTCTTCAACCTTCTCGACGCGAATCGCTGGTACAGTGGGGCCATCTCGGCGAAAATCAAAGTAACGCCCGCCTTATAACAGACTGGACTCAGTCATCTCTCCAGCGGCCAGCCCGAGTCCGATTCTGCTGACTGAACTAAAAACAGGAGGGGAGGAAACCAGGTAAAAAATCACAAGGAACGTCGGGGACCGGTCCTGCTTATATATGTCGTCCGACCAATCCGACGGTGACGGCGCGCGTTTTGAATCTTGGCGGGGCTAGGTGCAACCCACTTGTGGACAATGCAGGCGTTGTCCACTCCACGTCGATGCTGCAAGGAATGATGGACGTCGTGACGAGTTCGATCATTCCTCTGCCCAGGCGCACGTGACAGTATAGGGGTCAATGTGTGGCGTGTTAAGGCTCAATGGTCTAGTGGTATGATTCGTGCTTCGGGTTAGTTCACCTTCCTAAGACAAGGAAATAGAATGTGCGAGGTCTCGGGTTCAATCCCCGATTGAGCCCTTCTTTTTTGTTTGAAACATTAATGCGCCACACGTTGATTATACTGTATGCTAGCGCTACACTCATGAATTCGCGGCAACCAGCTGTTCGCACAAGTTCCAAAAGTCTTCAGCCAACCCTTCATCTACTGCGTAACCTTTCTTCGCAGTTACTTGTGCGATAGGTTCGAGGTAAGCAGCCCTACGATATCTGTGAGCTCTCACCGCAGTTTTCAAACTTACTTCAAATCCTTCTCTTCGACTTCGGGTTACGCGACAATTGTGACATACGTCCGCTTTCGTCCGAGGGTCCTTCTGAGTGGTACGAAGTTTGAGTTTCTTCTCCGATATACCTTTTGTACGAGAGGGCTGAGGAATAAGCTTGGCCATGAACGCGTTGAGCTCGGCTTACAGTGCAGGACGACCCTTGTCAGCGATTTCCTTCTCGAGATGAGCGCGAACCTTGTTGCAAAGGTTCAGGTTGTCGACATATGATCCAGGTGAGACGGAGACACACTTTGAGTCATGGGCAATTTGCAGGCACCTTGAGCAGGATAAGATAGATGTAGGTGGGAAGATGCACCGTATACTGGCGCGCACTGGCCGGAAGACTACAGATATCGTGTTAATAGATGTCAACATGACAGAGAAATCGTAGCGACCTCCGCGCAGTCAAAGAGTGCAATTTTGAGGTTGACAGAATGAAGCGTGGTGATTGATCTCGCGAAGCACTTCATCCTATATCGGTCGGACCTCAGACAACCACCAAGGCTTGGACGATTTAAAGTGGCACTGGAGCAACGAAACAGAACAGTCTAAAGTTATCGGTTTCGAAAAGCTTCGAAGTACAATCACAAGCGTAATTCATCTACCAGTCATTGGAAGTGTACATCTTCAGATCACCGAAGGAATGAGTGCGAGGGATGGTGTAGGCAGTGTCAGCAGGGGAGAGAATATCGGCTTCATGTTCAGCATCTTCTGGAGAGGAGGCTGGAGGGTAGAAAGACGCATAGAAATAGTCTGGAGAAGCGGAAGTAACTGATATGTGTTCGTATGCTGAGAGAGCAGTATGAGCTGCGCCGAGCTGAGCCTCGAGATACGCTGTGTTTTGTTGAGATTGAGCGAGCAGAGAAAACAGACATGCTTCGTTGGCGCGCGACTGGGAGAGCAGATCCTTCAAGGTGCTTGCTTCGTGTTCAGCGTCTAGAAGGGTATTGAGGAGGTGCTTCTCAAGTTGTCTCTGCGCCGCAATATCCGGACGATTCTCTAAGGGAACGTCTTCCACATTGGAATCCCTACGATTCCATGTGTAAGCATCAGCATATAGGCGATGTATGACGGACGTACTGCGAACGAAATCCGGAATCAACGTGTGATGTTCTTTTGGGAGGAATGTTCTCGTCGGTGAGCCTGATGATGATACGCATAAAATCGAGCAGATCGACTGAGGAATACTCTTACGTGACAAGAGTGTCGTATATTTGTTGATCAGCGCGGGCTATGCGAGAGGAACGAGGACCTATTTTCGTTGTAGACGCGTTGTGTTTAATGGACTCTGCGGGAAGATTCCTCTTAGCGACTTGCTGGACAGAAGGTGCGCGTATTTTGCGGTGCTTAAGGTGCATCGGCGAGAGAAGAATATGCGTCGTATCAGAAGACGACTTGAGTACGAGTATGAGTGCCGGTACTTAACATGAGATACGACGAGCAGACAACGCACCACATTGCTTAGAACGTCTTGAGCGCTACAAGCATCATGTTAAATTTTACGAAAGGACGACAGCCATATTTGAAAGGACCTCTGTGTAGCAGCTGTAGGAATGGATTCTGATTTTGACATGGTTGAAAGAACGAAAGCGGATTGTGGCCGCCCGGGGCCGGCTTGGAAGGAAATTGACCGGACCGGACTGCTTCGAACTCTTTTTAACTTCAACCAGCTTCATCCCAGGTTCGCACTCATTCCGTGCATCGACAAGCGTTAGACGCCGTCGTCTACTTACGACCTGCTGCTTCTCGCTGCCTCTTAGCCCAATTCTTGGCCAGACAATGCCACTGTCAAGTAAACGTTGAACTCTTCAATCTCTTTCAATCAGCCCATTATCGCCTGGGACTGTAAGGATGATGGATCAACCCTTTGTCAAAGACCTGAAGGTGCGAATGTGGGACGACCTCAACCATTTGGAAGCTCTTCCTCGAACAACGGCACTGTGAAACCTGATCAATCCACGAGTTTTTAGATTGCTATCAGTATAGTGTATGGGTGAAGTACCATGGGCTCCTCAATCAACACGGGGGTTCTAACAGGTATGTCTTAGTAACCGTAGTTCCAGTCGCTGAAAAAAATTGCTTGAAGGTGAGGCATTGGTGACGAGGCCAGACTGTGGGAAGTCGAAATGTCACCAACGCCACACAGTCAAAGTCCCTCCTACTGGATCACTATGTGGATTGGGTGGAGATGCACACTAGCCTCTCCGTGGGATGAGAGAACTATTCGTGGTAAACGCGATCGCAGAGAAGGTGATCGTCGAAATACATATGCGCTACACGATCGAGGATCAGCCTGATATCAGCTCGGAGATTAACTGGAGAGTCAGGGAAGAGATCGATTGCGCATAGGGGGGAGAGAAATGTGCGACGGAGATGCGCGTAACGGTAATGATGAAGCCCATATCAGTGCAAGAACGTGTGATTCTCGCGTCTTAAGAGTATTGACGCGTCTTGCCAACACATTTTGTCTATCTGACTTGCTAAGAAAGACTTGGAAGAGACACGACTGGTAAGCCTTGCTGGAATGCTTACTCGCCACTTCAGGTAGTTGGCCGGTGGGACCCAAGCCACCGAACCCCCGGACACTGCTTGCAGAAGTTTTTCTCACTCGTATGAGGGAACTGGAAGTTTACTAGACTTGAGACAATTGCGCCGAATGGCACAATTTATCTGAGGAGTATTACAATACCTGTGGCGCTGGGTGCACCTGTAGTTAACAAAGCACGTGCTCCCTTTCAGAGGTTGCAAAGGCAGCGGTACACGCTTCTGGCTTCTCATTATAAGCAATATACGAGTTAGGAATGGCTGATTGGGCTACGCCCTTAGTGGATCGACTTGCTACACAAAACCTATAGGCGTATATGTAAAATTGTAGGCGCCCATTTGTAAGAGATTGATGGATGTATAGTGCTTTGATCCCTTCGATCGCGATCACACATGCTCTCGTCTCGGGTGCGGGAGACTCTAAGTACCAAAGCAACCGCGTTTTTCCCTGTAAACCAGCGGATGGGAAGAGACGCAAAGGCCAATAAAGGATGGTGGCTGTGTTGGGCGCGTATTATGTCGTAGGGCCCTCAGAATATAACAAGTCCCAACACTGCAATTTGCCGGCCACCAGAGAGCGATCGATTTTCCATCATCACTTTCAAGGAGAGAGGCGCCTCAAACGTCCAAAATACGCCCTGATGCTCCCGCCCGCTGGTTATACTCGCTGCTATTGGGCGTTACTTTCACCGTCTCTCCAGTTCCTCTACCTCGATCCTGTCTTTCAAAGCCACCTTGCCAACCCCGACGCTTCTCCCAGCACCAGTGCAAAGGCCGCCGCTGATGTGCTCGTAGGCAAATCCCTCCTTGACTTTGTCCATCCCGACGAGCAGGGATCTGCAAAGACCGACCTGGGCAACGTGCTTGACTCCAAAACCCTGCATGGAAGTGTTACGCGCGTGCGCTTTGCCAGGCTCAACAAAATCCGCGCTGAACTGGGCTTCCCGCCATCGCCAGACACTTGGGCGGGAGCTGACAAGGTCGGCGTGGACGGTGACTACATGGCGGTCGACGTGGTCATCAATTGGGCAGCGGACGGTCTGGTATTATGCTTCATGCACGCGATCGTAGACATCGACGCAGAGTCCGAAAATGATCCAAACAAACGTGGTCCATGGAGCAATTGGTGTGGTACGCCGGAATTAGGACAAGCACAGGTGCAGATGATGTATAGTCGGCTACTAGTATGCGGTGGAGAAGGCGCGGGGAGCGGAGCGCGGGTGTTCCAGATTCTAGCCAACGACGAGAGCAAAACGCATCTCATTTCGTGGCCGCCTGTGGACCATCGCCATCTCGCTCGTCTCGCTCACGACATTAATGTCGATACTGTCAATACCGATGCCAAGACCTCCTGCACCCGCCGCTTCAAAGCCGGCAACATGATTCCAGAGGTCGGCCACGTCGAAAGCGTCTTTATCCCTCATGGTATCCTGCCCTCCTATTCAGTGTATATTACTTTCTGACTAATACCCCCTGTGCAGGCTCCATAATATTCGCCTGCCACAAAGTGGAACCCCCTAACCTCATGTCTCCCTCATCCTACGACTACTACATTCCACCGAATCCGCATTCATACTCGTACCAGCCCCCATGGAACCGTGCCAACAACGGATCGTATTACGACCATCCACCTCCTCCTGCTCCTGGCCCATACAGCGGCTACGAAACTCAATATAATCTACCGCCGCCAGAGGATGAGGTTCCGCCACCGAGGAGGCGGGCATCGCCGACTCAGCAGCAGACCCCTAGCCCGACTAGTCAGAGCGCTCAAGGTTCCGGGGGCAGAGGCAATCGCCCTGCTGGCATACTAAAGTGCACGTCCTGTAAAGCCACGACCTCGCCGGAATGGCGCAAGGGTCCGTCAGGACGGAAGGAGCTGTGTAATGCATGCGGCCTCCGATATGCTCGGTCCCGCGCGAAGAAGGAAGGTGGTGGGGCAAAGTCGGGGAGGGGCGGCGCCAATGGGGGCAAGGTTCGGAGCAGCACCAGCGTCGCTGCCATGCGTCGGGAGGGTAGCGCCACGAGCAGCACTGGCGGGAAAACAGACGGCGGCCCAAGCGAGGGTGTCTTTGACAGCACCGCGTATCAAGGCCCTGCCTCCACCACCTATGATTATTATAGGGGCAGAGAGGAAGAGCCAGCCAGATTCACGGACCCCCCCTCCCAGCCGCCACGTCCGGATGACCGCTTCAAGGCCCCGCCTTACGATAG